AAAAAAAATAAAACATTTAAATAAAAACCATACCCACCCATCTCTTGACCCGGGACCGGCGGGTCAAAAATGAGAAAATAGCAACCCAAAATCGGTAGATCCGGGCCGATTTCATACCGGTTCGACCCTTGCCATGTCTACCTCCAACAAATGAGGCCTAAATTTACAACTTCCTTCCTAAACAACTACGTCACCTTTCCTCCCACACCTTCTCCTTTGTTAAAATCTCTCCTCTCCTCCCCTTTACACTTTACTCCTATCCCATCCAATTAACCAAACATACCCTAAGCTTTCCTTCAGCCACCAGCCGACAAATGCAATCTCATGTTTAACTCACATGTTTAACTACGCAAATGCGTAATCCATCTCTCACCGCTCTTGGGAAGCTGTTGCGTACTTTTTTTTCGTGAGCACCATAAACTCTGTCAACAATAAAGTTTTGGGCCTAAAAATTTGCAAAATCTTTCTTCAAAAAGAAGGCCGATGGCCATTTGCTTTCCCTTTCATCTACGATTATGTTTTCCTCGGTGCACACACTGTGTTTCTCTTATATAGATCTGATTTACACTGTTCTGGGCTTGATGATCTCTGTAGATGAAGATTGTTGATGTTAAAATGTCATCTTCATCAGCTAAGAGTATGAATGGCGGTACGGATGGTGGTGGTGTAGTAGTGGCAGATGAGGTAGGTGGGGCGTTGGAAAGTAAATGTAATAATAACAATAATAACAAAGACAAAGATGAGAGAAGGGAGTGTAGTGTTTCGGTAGATCTGGAAAGTGGGACACTCCAAACTAAACAGCAGCAGCGGGATTGTAGGATTTGCTATCTGAGCTTGGAAACTACCAATCAAGAATGTGGAGGTCCAATTGAACTGGGTTGTTCTTGTAAGGATGATTTGGGTGCTGCACACAAACAATGTGCAGAGGATTGGTTCAAGATTAAGGGTAACAAGTAGGTTCTTTTTCTTTTCTTTTCTTTTTTCCCTTGTAATTGAAAATGTGATAATTATGAATAGGATGAAATCATTGGTTTATTGAATTAGATAATATAATTGCCATAGGTTTGCTGTAACAACTTGTTTTTGCTTTTTAATTGTTATGATCTATCTCATGATTATTTGTAAGTTTGGCGGCTAGGTTTATAATAATGAAACTTTGTTCTAAAAACAGCTCTAATAATTTCTAAAGAGGGAACAAATGGCTATATGTGGCAACAATAGGTGACAAAAGATAAACGAAGAAGAAGATAAAAGGAAATGCACAAACTTCATGCATATGAAAATATAACGAATCTGTATAACAAAGAAAAGGATGAAACCACTAGCAAATTTTTCTTTTTTGGGCTGATTTTTCTTTGTTATTACTCCAATTGCTTGTCTAATAGGGTGATTCTCTTTGCTTTTAGTATTTTTACTTGAATTGATTATGTGTTGTTTAGTGTGCTACCTTGTACTGGGTACTCTCTCTATTTACTGCTTTTAGCTTTATGGTTTTTTTAGTTCAAAATCTTGATGCTAGCTCATTTCAGGTGCAGCCACTTGGGAGTCAAAAAGTCTTAAAACATGATTGCCTCCCTTAACCTTTATATGTTCAAATTAAGTAGGCCATGTTAGTTTATCAACTTGATTAACCCAACTTATCTATCCTTAAAGGCTACAGAAGGAGGATAGTTCATTTCCGTTTTTTATTTCCGTCAATCCGTCTTTTACTATTTCAAACTCTTGCAAGTTGATATTTTGTCTAAGCTGACCTGGCGATTTACAAAAAGCTGCTTTGAACAGGATGCCAATGGATATATGGATTACAACAATTTAGTGCTTCTTTAATCGACTATTTGTTTAAGGACTTGTCTTTTCTTCTTCTTTTATATGTCACGTTGTACATTCGTGGAGTTGTATCCTTTTTTGTTGAATTTGAATCTGTCATTAATCAGTTTACTAAGTTCATGGTCTTTCTCTTCTATTTTAAAATCGGGATCTTTTATGTTTTCTCTCATCTTGATTTACATCCAAATTCCAATTAGAAATATTTGACTTAAATCATCTGCAACATGTGTCTCAAATTTTAAAATTTTAAAACCCTAAAAGATAGGAAAGTTTAACACAAAAAGATCTTAATCTTGGAAGTATAAGAACCACTGGAACTAGTTTTCTGTAAAAGTTAATTAAAAGGTAATGTTTTTCGGTTAATGTAGTTTGTAATTTTCATGTCTTCGTTATTTGAACTATTATTTGTATACATTATTTATAATATTTTTTGTCAATTGCAAATGGAGCTGGAAGAGTCATTGCTGACAATTCTCCTGGCATAGTGCTAATAATGGACTAGATCAAAATGACTCAATTAAATTCTAGTGCTTCTTCTATTAGTTAAGTTTCTAGAAAAAAAAAATATATCAAACGGCGCAATGCACCTTGGGTCGCTACGGAAACAGCCTCCTTGTATAATTACAAGGGTAAGGTCTGCGTACAACTGACCCCCCAGACCCCAACCTGTTGGGAATATACTGGGTATGTTGTATTATTTATAATATTTTACCTTTTAATCTATTTTTACTTTAAAAAACAATGCTAACGGTAGAATGCTATTTTAAAGAATAAGGTTGCATTTGTGTTCAAAATGTATGATGTGTCGAATTTCACTTTTGTTTGGGTTCTTATCCTTTTATTCCAGTTTAGAGTTACTATCAATTTTTAGAATATTAGTTTGTTCAAATATATTCTGATCCTGGATAACTTGTTCGTTTGTGAAATTGTTCTCATTTTGATTTATTATTCCATGGGATTAGGAGATTTCATGGCATTCCAATTTTACTCGTGTTAGTTCTGAGGCCTTCTTTCCCTTCCTTCCCTCCCTCTAATGATACTATGTTCGATTATCTGCTTATGAATTTGCTTAGTCGAATAAAAGTTCATCAATCTTATGGTATATCCTCTTAAATTTGTAAATATCCAAGTTTGTCCTGCATTAAGACCCAAACTAGAGCTTTCTTTTCTAAACAAATGAGTTATTATCATAGCAATAATCCAAATGAAAGAGAAAACAAAGTTTAAATTGTTTATGTTGATTGCTAGTATGCGGTTATGACATATCGACGGCTGTCTTTGCACTTTGCATGTCACTAACTTCTAATTTTTCACTCAGCTTTTATGATAATTGGATTTTGCCGTGTCCTTTCCCATTAAAAGGATAGTATCTTGCAGAATTTGCCTTTGAAATTATATTGAGAGGCTTAAAGCTTGGCATATTTAAATATATGTTCTAGTTTTTTTGGAGAACAATTACAGTTAGCACTAAAAATTACTCAAATGTTTTTCTTTCTTACAGTTCTGGTTCTACCTTAAAGTATTTGCAGTTAAATAGTATTATTCTAAACTAGAATATTTTTATTCTCTTTGCTTTCTGCATTTGTTATAGTTATACTCTTCAAAAAATGGAAAATCTTATTTGTGGCGAACACAAAGTATTATTTAATTGCAAATATATCAGGGTTGAACTAGAACTCTGAAAAAGAAAATGAACAGTTTGGCTATTATTTTGATAAAAATTGAAAATTATACCAGTGAAGCTATATTGTTAGGCTTTCCTAACGGTTAGGCCACCGTACTTTTTTAATAGATATGCATATTTTCAAATTCAAATATCATAATAAAAAAATAACATAAATGAAACTCTCTCATTTCGTAGCATGTTATGTTTTTTGTTAAAAATGTATGTCGGGTTCGACTCACCTAACGGTTAGATTGCCTCAAACAAGATTTTTTGTTGCATATATAATGTAATTTCAGAGTTGTTTGAGAATTTTGCAGTTCTTACATGAACTTGTGGTCGTCATCTACCATTGTACTCTTGATTTCAGTGTAATATGCTTTTTAGTAGGCAGTATGATGAGAGACAGAGAGTTGATAGCTCCTAGAACTTGTCATCATTTATAACTTTGGTAGCTGTATTCTTAGATACTTTCCACATATCAGATTATGTTGCTCTTGTATTGTTAATCACTTAATCATTTAAGTTTGTTCATTATAGAATGGAATTAAGGTAAGGGTTTTTGGTCTGGTTTTTCAGCAAACTGTATGTGGCACTTAATAAATTCATAATATTTTGGAATTGCAGATTTTGCAAAGTGAAATTTTTCTCTAAGTATCTATTTCCAGCACAATTGAGGAAAGAATAGTTCCTATTTTCTTCCAACTGAAGATGGATTGTAGTGGAAGTTACATTAGATGTATATAACACGCGGTTGATGTGGCTTTATGAATGCTTCTACTTTCATAAATACTGGAGAGTTGTTACATTTTCATAATCAAACTCGATATTGTTCTTACAGATGTTAATAGGACAACTGCTAGTGTATATCAACCTTGGTTGTGTTGTGTGGCTTAATGTTCTCAAATACCATTCATTGAAAGTTGATTTTTGTTTTTTCAAATTGCAGAAGATGTGAAATATGTGGATCAATAGCACAAAATGTAGGTGACGTAAATGAGGCCGAGTGTAGGGTTGAAGTAAATGATGGTAATGCTATGGCTACATCAGAAGCAGCAGCAGCAGCAGCAGCGTCACAGTCTCAGAATTTCTGGCGAGGCCACAAGTTTCTGAATTTTTTGTTGGCTTGCATGGTGTTTGCATTTGTAATCTCCTGGCTTTTCCACTTCAATGTACCCTCGTGACCGAGAGAGCTTATGGAAACGTAAAGAGAAGAAAAACACGGCACGGAAATCTTGACTAGGGTTGGTGTGTTTTATTGTTTTCTAATTTAAATCAATTTATTGTGTATATTACTTCTTAGGCCTCTTTTGTATTTGTTGTTATCCACAAATTGTTGCAGAGGGGAAAGTGTGATTCTTGCTGATCACACACCTTATTTTATATTCATCCTAGCAGTCTCCTGTGTGCAATTGTGCTTTCTTATCCTAACTTTATATAAATAAGGGGCAAAAAGAAGGTCAAATAGCAGTTTTTGTTTCATTCAGAAACCTGAGGAGCGCAGATGTTCCATTGCAACAGTAATTATAAGTGTTGGGGATGCAGATGTTTGTCCATATGATTGAATGTGTAAATGTCAAATTGAATTCTAAATTTTTAGGTTAAAATGGAGCTTTTCATTATTATATATTAAACATATCGTTGCATGAACAAAATAAAATCTGAAAGAAATGAGCTCGTAATGTATTTTTTCTTTTGGGAAAAATAGCATAATATATATCTATCATTATATAAAAAGAATAACCTTTTTACAAATTTAAAAACTTTTTTCCGCCAAAATCATTAAATATATTCTATATATAGTAATTGTTGGACAAATCTGAATAGGCAAAAAAATCCGCTCATTAATTGTGTAAAAATTTGTTTCTCTTTTTCCTGTTTCTTAGTTTATCGTTTTAACAATAAATATTTATTTTTCTTTTTTCTATTTTTAGTATAAATCTATACGAGTTTATCTCTTCTGTTACAAAATCCGATTGCATACGATTTTAGGTGTTTAGAAAATCTCATCTCTTATCTATACAGATTTGAAAAAATAAAATAAAATAGAAATCAATTCATAATTACTACTAGAAATCCATTATCTTTAAAAAGAAAAAATAAACAAAATAGAAATCAATTCATAATTACTACTAGAAATCTACTATCTACTTTAAGAAGCTAATTTTCATCGTTCTAATTACTAATATTTTTACAAATATTCTAAGCTAACCATACAAAAAAGTATAATGATAATTTTGAAATGGTGTGTAATCAAATTTTTTTATATTCTCTTATACAAAATCATTTTACATTGTTTGACCCCGAATGTTTAATTTATAATTATTAAGTATTGTTTATCCTCTTCTTTTATTTATAATTATTTTTTTTTCTTCCTCTTTTTAAATACGATCAATAATAGTTTTCACTTCTGTCATTGACTCAAACTCTAGGTCTATTTATAATATTGTTAATTTAATATTGTTCCCGTGCATCGCACGGGGTACACACTAGTATATATAAATAAGACTAGAATAAATCAAATATAGTAAGCATTTCCCATCATTATGCATTAATTACATCCTAATTAGAGTAATTTTAAATAATTTACTTAAACAAATCTTGAAGCATTAATTGTAATTAATTTTAAATCCCTTAACAATCAGATTTATTGTCTTAAAAAAATACTTCATAATATTTGATTAAACACTAAATCCGGATGTTTGTAATCAATTCTATTTAATAGCAATATTATTATGGAATCAAATATTATGGAGTATCTTTCGAAAATCAGTATAATTATAAAATCAAATAATTTAACCACGATTCAATCTTTTTAATTCAATCTTTTAGACTTATCAATTCATTTTAATATAATATAAATTTACCATAAAAATGAGAGTAGGACTTTATAATAATAGTTGTATCAATATTAATAATATAAATGCTAAATAAATTTTAATATTTGGACTGTACACTTTATAATATACATATAAATAAATCGCATATTTGAACTTTAATTTTTTTTTTTTCACATATAGTTATGCAATATATGCAACTTAACAAAGAGTAAAAAATATTGTAAAGATTCTATTTTAATCATGGTAACATGTTTTTTAAAATTGTCACAATATTCAATTTACTATTCCACTACTCATGTAAACATCTTTTTGTTTATATTATCATGATTATTTTTTTATCATAAAAAAAACAAAAAAAAAACAAAATTGTTCTCAATATTGCAATGGATTTGGCAAAAAAAATGAGAATGATTGAAAAAAAAAAGTTATACTCAAAATTCACACTTTAAGGTAACAACTTTTCTTATATTTTATATAAAATTAAACTTTACCAAATAAATCATATATTTAGTATTTACCACAATATTACATATTTTCACTATAGTTTTATTTCGTGATTGTAACCTTCTGAAAATCAACAAAAAATTGAAGGATTGAGGTGTCTATCAAATTTGCAATTACCAAGTGGAGAGCAATTTTGGTAAATATCGATCTACGGTTTCCAAGTACAAAATAATTTTGCATGGAAAAACAAAGAGGTTTTTAATAATGTATGACTTTTTCATGATGAACATTTTATGATTACCTAACAAATATTTTATGTATCATAATTTAATGATTAATACCCTTCAATTATAAATTTTATCAAAAAAATACAAACCGTGCATCACACGGGCTATGTACTAGTGATGTCATAAAAATATTAAATAATTAAAAAAAGACATAATGTATATAATTGCAGATCCTAATATGTTGTCCCTTGGGAGTAGCTGAAACAAAAGAAAAGATCTTCTTCGTGGAATGGAAAAAAGTATATATTAAATAATTAAAAAAAGACATAATGTATATTATAGATGCATTAGTTCTTCTATTTAGGGTTATACTCAATTGGGATTTTTAAAGATTTTTAAAGACTTTTTAAGACATTAGAAATCCTGGTGTATTTAATTTAGATTTCTCAAGACATTTAAAAGTCTTGAGGTATTCAATTGGAATTTTAAAGTCTTACAAAATATTTGAGGTAATTAACTTATTTAAAACTAGGATTTGTTAAATCTTTTAAGATTTACTGGAATTTCTAAAGAAAAAAAAACATATACGAAATCCCACTCCAAATCCACCTCCAGACTTAAAATTACACTGAATTCCTCCAAAATGCAAAAATCTTAAAAAATCTGAAATCTCAAAGTCTCTAAATGTCAACCGAAATCTTAAACAAATATACCCTCATTAGTCATGTTAGATGATTAAAGAGTGATTTTATTTCATTTTGATATTGACGTTCTCATTAGAAACATTTACACTCGTTGGAGCTCACTATATCAATAGTACTACAAAATTCTAAATTCATTTGGCAAAATGTCTACTTTATTTAGACACTTTGAAATATTCTGGCCAAATATGTTGTCAAACTTCATGATTGTATGATGGTTATGAGATATTTCTACTAACAATTCATGAGTATCTTTGTGAAATAACCGATTGTGTAATTAAAATTGCTGATATATTTTTTTTATCATTACACAAACTACTACATTACTCTCTCTCTCTCTGTCTCTCTCCATATAGACAAATTTGTACCTACTCAGTGTAGGCAACGCCCCATGGGTGGGAACAAATTTTATCTTCAAATAAAAGTCGAGTTTTTCAAAATCTTAGTTATATATACTTTTCCCTAGGCGCTAAATTATTTTTTGAAATCATTACATTTCACTAAAGTACGTACTCTAAAGTTATTGCACATATATTTAAGCAAAATACACCAATGAGATTGTAAATAGTCATATCAAAAGGTAACAACTTCATTCGAACATTATAAAATATTTTGATCAGCATCCGACATTCGGTTTTCAATGCTATTTATTGCAAATCATTTCAAAACCACAATTCTATATTCTTTCAAGGCTTTGTTGTTTGGGTTGATGTTGTGTTTATTTTTAGAAGATATTGAAGAAAGTAGGTTGAGAGAAATGGAGGAAAACGGATTCGTGAGTAATAAGGGTGGGAGAGTATTGTGGTTAATTTTTAGGAGATGTACAAAACCTGATCATGTATTTGCCTTTAATTAATTAAATAATAGTGATTAATTAAAAATATAAGATTGCATGAGTATTAGTGTATTACTAATTGACTATTAAAAACATGTAAAGTAAAAATTTTTAGGTAGTTCATTTGGTTTTTTAAAGTTGTTTATCATAATACCTTTCACATTCGTTCGGATTTGCAATATTATGCGCGTAATAATTTGTTTATTGCTTCTATTGTCCAACATTTTACATCATACATAATGTTTCACAAAATTCAAGATAAATATTCTTTTTTTTTTTTTATTCTTCAACAATGACAAACAAACAAAAACAATGAAACAATATTGAGAAGCATATTATTTGTCAAAATATTTGTGAGGATAATAATTAGAATTATTATGATACTCTTAGTCATCTGTGAACTTTGTTATCACAAAGTTATTATTAAAATATACATTATGTATTACAATGTGTATAACTATTTATTTATTTTTAATATTCAAAATTGATAATATAAGATCATTTATGAGAACCAATTTCTTACAGAGTCCATATATTTATACGCTGACGATAAAAAGTAGTAATTGTTTTTTAAAAAATTATTTCCATTCTTCTCTATGATAATTCAGTCGTTTTCTCTTTCCCTTTGCATTATTATTATTATTTTATTTGTTTCTTATTCAATTTACAAATAATTTTATTTTATTCTTTTGTTAAAAGAATTGGACAACATTTATATGCATTGCATTACCTTTTTGTACGTGTTTTATATAATGATGTTGTTATTAAAATATCTTATTTATTAATCTACAACTACTATAATCAAATAAGATAAAATACTATTTAATATTACTTATTTATTTATATATAATAATAATATATTTGATAAAATGTATTTCTATATTGTTTATAAGATGAAAAAATTTATGATTTTTTTCCCCAATGTTTGATAAAATATTGTTTATTGTTTCAACCAAAAAGTAAAACCAATCAAAACTCAAATTTAACTCAACTTTAACTCAACCCCACTATCCACAATATTATCAATATAATTAAATAATATCAACTAATTATTCTTACACATTACATCAACTTTAATACACTATTCTTCCACTCACATAATTTTAACTAACCATCACTTCCAATCATGTTTCTCCTACTTTACATCAAATCAACTTTAACTATTTTATTTAAATATTATTTTATAATATCCACTAAAAACTAACTATACTACTTTTTTTTCAAAATAGCTATAGTTAAAAAACAAACCAAATAAAAACTAGTTGAATCCATAATCAATCACCCCCTAAGTAACTTGCTCATTTTCATATTCACCAAAAATATATGTTATAACCACTATGATGTATATTGTTTGTTTTGAATTAAAAAAAAAATACTAATTATCATAAATTAAATGATACTTGCATTCAATGTGTTATATTTGTAACATTATCAATAATTTTTATAATAATTAGTTGTGCAAAATATTATATACTGCAATTTTTTTTTTTGTTGATTTGGAGCCGTACTTTTACTACAGAAAATGACCAAATT